TATATAGCATTTTTATTTGTTATGCTTTTATATCTAACACTTAAGACCTATTTGCACTGTATTCTGCAATCAGAATTCTAGTGGACTGATTTATACTGATGTAATATTTAATTGCAGTTACGATTCTGTGTTCCAGGGAAAGACCTCGGAATACTGGAGTGATATCCTGTACTGTATGTCTGGAAGAATTTCAGACCCCTATCACTTGTATCCTTTGTTTCAAGTATCAAATAATTGTCCTATTCTGTCATAGCTGCTTTTTACAGTTAAGGAAAATATGCTTGGATTTTACCTATAATAAAGCATCAATTTAATAAAAGCATTCAAGATGAGGATTGTGTATTAAATACAAATTAAATCCACTTGCATCAAGATATGTAATTGGCATAAATGGTAACATTTACAATAAACTCTTGCTTGAGCCATTACAGCCTCAAATTAATGGATATTAATTCATTAAGTGATGGTGGAATGGGTGAACAAAAAAGTTCTCTGGGATATCTAAATACATTGAGGCACATTAAACTGAGGATTTACTGTAAATGAACCCTGATCAAGATCCTATTAAGCAAAATTGGATACTTTCCTTTGCTCCATGGTATCTGTAGAATCCTAGTAGAAATATTGGCTTTGCATATTCATTCTGAATTTAGATGTTTTTTCTAGTTAGAAGACAGTATATTATTATTATCCTTGACTTTTGACCTTAAAGATCTTTCGGAACCAGTGGATGTTTACAGTGATTGGATAGATGCTTGTGAGGCAGCCAATCAATAACAACGTAAAAGGAACTTGTTGGAAGTTAATGTTTCTTTATTCAAGGGTGGGGGTATTTGTTTCACAATGCAAGGGAGAGACAGCTGGAGTGACTATGAAATGGTGGTTTGTGCTCTTTTCTTCTATTCAGTAACCTATCTTTTTATATGAATATTGTGGAGGATAAAGACTAAAGACTGCCAGAAAAAGACTTGCAAGTGTGGGAAAGATCAACTCTTATTCAGGTTGATGCTGGGAATTTTTTCTCTCAAGATTGAAATACGAGGTTCAGTGCATCAGATGCTGCTGTTCCATTTTCGTTAATTTATTTCGGTCTTATAGAGAAGGGCCTCCACACAAGCCTCTCTTCCATACTGTGATGGTTCTTGGGATTGTATTCCGTGTTAAATAGCGAAGTATAGTCAGCAAGAATATATGGAATGTAAGAAAAAATAGCCCCATCTTGGTCCCATGATACAAGCTTTATATTTATCTGTTGGAACAATGATCATGAAGTCAACCTTTTTCTCAACAACTTGTCTCCAGTTAGAATGACGGTGCTTTGCCTGTGTTTCAGAAAAAGCTGTTTGCAGGGCTCTTGTGTGGCATTGGGCATGGGATTTTGAGAACTGTGTTATGTAATAAAGTATAATTCAGAGAAGTAAACCTGCGTGACTCACTGAGAAATGATGCCGTCGCCTTAAAAACATTTTGGTGCAATATACGTAGGGCAATTTTTAATTCCTTTGGTAGAGATATTTATTTGACCATTTTACTTTTACCCTAATGCTATGTATGCATTCTGCTCAGAACATTTCACTCAATTGCTTCTCCCCCCCCCCCCAATACATGAATCCTAGTAAACATTTTTATGACTTTAGAATGAATGTGTCCATGCATATGGGAGGATAGACTGTGGCTTGAGTCTGAATCTTGCATAGAGTGCATTCAGAAAGTGTTCAGATTCCCTTCACTTTTTCAATTTTGTTATGCTGCACCCTGATTCTGCAGTTGTTGAAATTCATTTTTCCTCGTTAATCTACACTCCGTACCCCATAACAACAAAATGAAAACAATTTTAGAAATGTCTGTAAATTTAAATATCACGTTGGCATAAGTATTCAGACCCATCACTCAGTACTTTGGCAGCAATTACAGCCTCGAGTCTTTGGGTATGACACGACAAGCTTTGCACACCTGGATTGGGGGATTTTCTACATTCTACCTTGCAAATCCCCTCAAGCTTAGGTTGGATGGTGGCCATTGGTGAACAGCTATTTTCAGGTCCCTCCAGAGATGCTCAATAGGGTTCCAGTCAGGTCTCTGGCTGGGCCACTCTAGGACATTCACAGAGTTGTCTCTAAGCCACTCCTGTGTAGTGTGTGCTTAGGATTGTGTCATGTTGGAAAGTCAGATCCTGAGCGCTATGGAACAGGTTTTTATTGATATCCCTATGCTTTGCTGCATTCAGCTTTCCCTCAACCCTGACCAGTCTCCCAGTCCATGCTGCTGAAAAGCACTCCCACAGCATGATGCCGACACTACCACGCTTCACTATTGGGATGATATTGGGCAGGTGGATGAGCAATGCCTGGTTTCCTCCAGACATAATGTTTAGAATTGAGGCCAAATAATTCAATCTTGGTTTCATCACATCAGAGAATCTTGTTTCAATCTGAGAGTCCTTCGGATGCTTTTTTGCAAACTCCAAGCAGGCTTTTATGCAGTTTTGCACCGAGGAGAAGCTTCTGCCCCTCAGATTGATGGAGGGCTGTAGTGATGGTTGCCCTTCCGGAACTCTGTCCCATCTCCACACAGGATCTTTGGAGCATAGAGTGACAATTGGGTTCTTACTTACTAAGCCCCTTCTCCCCCAATTGCTCAGTCTTGGGACAGTCCTGGTTAGGCCACGCTTCTTCCATTTGAGAATTATGGAGGCCACTGTGCTTAGGAAGCTTCAGTGCAGCAGAAGCTTTGTTGAAGCCTTCCCCAGATCTGTGCCTTGCAATAATCCTGCCTCTGAGCTCTAAAGGCAGTTCCTTTGATCTCCTGGCTTTTGCTCTGCTACACTGCTTTGCCAGCTGTGAGGTCTTCTAGGGCAGTGTTTCTCAACCTTGGAGACTTGAAGTTGTGTGGACTTCAACTCCCAGAATTCCCCCTGCCGGCTTTGCTGGCTGGGGGATTCTGGGAGTTGAAGTCCACAGGACTTCAAGTCTCCAAGGTTGAGAAACACTGTTCTAGGGAGAGGTGTGTTATCTTTCCAAATAACGGCCAATCAGTTTAATCTACCACAGGTGTAGAAACACGTCAGCAATAATCAAGAGAAATGGGAGGCACCCGAGCTAAATTTCAAGTCGCGTTGAAAGGGCCTGAATACTTATGCCAATGTAATATTTCAGGGGTTTTTTCTTTTTAATAATTTTACAGACATTTCTAAAGTTCTGTTTTTCCTGTTACGTTAATTTCAACCTCTGTCGGGCTGCAGCCCAACAAAAATGGCAAGAGTGGAGGAGGTCTGAATACTTTCTGAATCCACTGTACAAGGAAGAGAAGCTATTTTGACCTATTCCAGTTTATCTTCTTCAGCATTGGAATTCAGAGACTGCTGTTATTTTTTCAAGTTAAAACCACTATGGCAGTGTTTTTCAACCTTGGCCACTTGAAGATGTCCGGACTTCAACTCCCAGAATTCCCCATCCAGCATTCGCTGGCTGGGGAATTCTGGGAGTTGAAGTCCGGACATCTTCAAGTGGCCAAGGTTGAAAAACACTGCACTATGGCATCAAGGTTTGTATCTTCTAAAACTGAATTAATTCTATGCTCTGCAGACAACAACTCCCAAGCTCTTTATACATAATAATGTTTAAAGACACAAAAGCCCATTCCTTTTTTTAAAAAAAAATAATCTGCAAGGGATCTTGAATATTTTTCTTTTTAAAAAGTTGATGTAGTAAAAGAAGAGGCTCGGTGTGTTGTTATGGTGCTATAACTTGTAAGATGCTTTTTTTTTTGTTTTTTGGATACAGCTTTTCCTATTTTTTATTGTATTATAAACGGATAGGTTGGAAGGAACTTAAAGGTCTTCTATTCAGCCCCCTTCCTAGAGCAGGAATCACCAGATAATCCTAGATAAATGGTTGTTGAAAATCTGCAGAAATGGAAGACCCTTCAGAAAGGAGGATTTCCATTAACAGCTTTTATTGTCAGGAAATTGCTCCTTATTTCAAATTTGGTGCTTTCTCTATAAAACCTTCACCCATTGACTCTGGTCATATTCTCAGGCAATACAGAGAATACCTCTATACTTTCTTTCCTGTGACAGCCCATTTCCAAGTCTTGGAAGACTTTTATGTCTCCCACTAGCTTTCTTCTCTTTAGACCAAATATCCTAGGGCTTTTGAACACTTGTCAGTTTTGCAGGGTGCCTACTCAAGCAAAATAATTCTTTGATTCTTTTCCCCTTCATATTCATCTAAATTCTTGCAGCAGGGTTTTCAACCAGAGTGTCACAAACGTCCATATTGGTGTAGTCATTCTTTATGTTTAATGTTTAATGTGATAATTAATCTTGCTGAGTTTCTTTTGAACAAAGTGTATCCTTCCATTACTATAGCCCAAGGGATCAAACTTGCAGAGTCACAGCAGCGTCACATGATGTATTGGGACTTCCCCCCCCCTTCGCTAAACTGGGTGAGGGCGGAGCCAGCCTGTGACCCATCCGGCCCTCAGGCTGCAAGTTTGACACCTAACCCCGTAAATAGCACAGAAGCAGATCTGGAACAGATAGAAGATATATGCGGCTGACATCCTTGTTAATTTGCTTTTCCAAATAAAAAAAATGGGTAAGCCTAAAATCTCTTTTCTACTTCTAGGACAGTGTTTCTCAACCTTGGCGACTTGAAGTCCTGTGGACTTCAGCTCCCAGAATCCCCCAGCCAGCATAGCTTTGAATTGAATATCAGCAATGAGGGGGCACACTAAATAGGCTCTTATCTGCAATTCTGTCCATGAGGTTATGTGAAAATCAATTGATTTAGGGATAATTTATTTGAAAATTCACTGAGCAGACTTGCTACAACAAAGTGTTAAAAACTGAAATATTTCACTTTTGAGCCTGTGTTTCATTAGAATATAACCAATTCCAAATATGCAAAATTGACTCTTGGTAGCTATGTGTATACATCAGTAATGATTTTGGCAACAATACAGTGATGGCTGCTATTGCTATTTTCCAGATAAAGATAGTCACAGGTACAAAACATTACATTTCCCAATCTTGCCTACAGACCTGCTGTATCTTGATAGTTCCTTCCTGCAGAAATATTCAAGTGAGCAGAGACTGTCCTCTATATTGAGATTTTGTCTTTAGTGTCACCGAAAACTTTTAATGATAACTCATTTGCTGAAAGTCTTTTTCATACTGTTGATTATATTGCAATTTAAAGAATGCATTCATGATCATGTAGCTTCACAGCTCATGCTAAGAGTAATGAATGAAATGGCTTTTGCTTTGCTTCCATTAGATAAGAAATGCTTATATAAAAATTCAAACAAATGGCTTAGCTGATAGAGGTTTCATGGAATAATTAAATTCTGTGTGGTTGTCTTCTCTTGAAATATCTTAGATCTAAGGGTTACAAAAGACTTCTGTTTAGAGAACGTGGATACTGGTAAATGATCTGACATGTTGTAATAGGAAGGGTTATGGTGACATCTTCATTTTGTTTTTAAATAGACACGCCAGAAGTGTTAAATTGCATTTAAAATCATATTTTAAAAGCCCCCTTTTCTCTTTTTATTTGTGCTACAGTGACATGAAGTAAATTTTAGTAGAACATTGCAATGAAACATACCTTTTTATATGTTTTTGTTTTAAGAGAAGTATGCCTTTAGCTGTTCAGCATGCAGAACACTTGCAAAGAAGATGTGAATTTTTAGGAAGATAAAGGGAATGTGCTTTCATTGACTATTAGCTTTTCAGTAGTATATATTTATGCCATTTTGGACAATAAGCAAATATTCCTCTAGTTCTACATAATTACCAGACATGGCAATAGAAAAAAAAATAGTGAAGCCAGCCATTCCTCAACTAAATATACATATAGATGACAGGCACACCAATCCTGAACTACAAGTGCATGGATTAGATGATAAATTGAATAAAATTTATCTTTTAATAGAAAAGTGTTTTAATATGCATAATTAAAGATTCACGGGCAGCAAAAAGTGAGACCCAGTGTGATGTTATGTTATCTAAGTATTGGAGTAGAGACGCCCCGAAAAGCTCATCCTGGGCGACTTTGAGCCAATTTCTCTTTCTTAGTCCAGGCTATCTCACAATCTACTTTATCTTGGGAGAAATTGGAGGAAAGGATGCTTTCCTTGAGTTCCTGAAAGAAAGGCAGGACACAGCTAGATGCACGTCAACTACCAAACAATCCTACTTCTGTGTGAAATGTATACTTGTTGGGCTTATAACTTGAATTGCACAGTATTGTCTTTGTGGTAGATGATATTTGTCTTTGTACAAGGCACATGATTGTTTACATAAATCTCCATAAATAACGGAGAAGGATGCTTTAAAAAGTAATCTTGGTTCCTGTATAACAGTGTTTCTCAAGCTTGGTCCACCTGAAGATGCGTGGACTTCAACTCCCAGAATTCCCCAGCCAGCTCTGCTGGCTGGGGGATTCTGGGAGTTGAAGTCTACGCATCTTCAGGTGGGCCAAGGTTGAGAAACACTGCTGTATAGCCTATCTAATTTCCCATGCCTTTACATTTTTAGATTGCATGCAAATACACAAACGTCTATTATTTACTGCAAATTAAATACGTACATCGGAATGAATGGAACAAATAAGATCAGGGATACTGTACTGGCATGCTGAATAATGAAAAATAAGTAAGGCAAATACAAAGAAACAGCTGTAAATTGCCAAGACATTCCTATCCGTGTAATACACAATCAGGTTTATGCAGGAACCTGCTTGTTATATGACCAAACAAAGAATTAAAAAGCGTTGGGTTGTTTTGCAGGAAAGTTTTTGTATTCTTGGGGCAACTGGCTGTTCAGTTTCCAGAGAGTTTCTCCCCGAAATTGCAGAGGTGCTTGGTTTAACTTCGCACCTCCCTTTTCGCACCATCCTTTCCAAATGACTTTGACATTGGCCACCTACTGATCTTAAAGACATATTTATATGTGTCACCAGTCTAGTCATGTTGCTTGGCTGGTGTGACCAGCTCCTGCAAATCACTCTCCACCCCATACACATTTTCCACCACAAGCTTTTGCTTTCCAAGAAGTTAGTGGCTGGCTCAGGTTGCCACTGCCCTTGCACAAATTTTGTGCGTTTCAGGAAACAGAAGCAATGGGAAGTTAGCATATGGAGAACTTGATATTTTATATCTAAGCCGATCAGAAAATACAGCTTGCCCTGAAGCGATTTGTGTAATTAATGAATACAAAATTGTTGCAGCACCTAACAATTTTACAGGTATCTTCATTGCCTGCCTCTGCATTGTTGCAAAACGTTAGCAGCAGCTGGCACTGAGAGAAATGATTGACAGCTGCCAGGGCTTTTTGTCAGTTGAGAAGCCAAGTTAAGAGGACTCATTCTTTCGTTTCTACTTCTCTCAACCGACTGGTTTTATTACTTGTTCTTTCATCCTGAGAGTTTTGAGCCATATTAGTGCATGCTCAAAAGCAGTGACAGGAGTTGCTAAGTCAAAGCGTGAAAGAGATCAGGGTGAAGCTTTAACACTCAGTGAGGGGGACGCCTGGCTCTGGCATGTATTAAGGAGTCTTTAGTGAGCTGGTTAGCAATTTAGGGAACTGTCTGAATCTTCTTAAATTCCCGGGATAAAATAATCACATGACGATGGATCTTTTAGGAAGTTCCTTGCAGTGCTGGTGTCTCTTATTATCTGTCCCACAGCTCCTCCTGGCTATTCAGAGTTGTAGAAGTTATGATGGCTGTGGTTATATTGGTCTTCATCATCTCCAATTGCAGCATAGGTGGGCGTGAGACAATACTTGGAGTCGTAGACTTGCCGCGGCAGCCCATAGACAGTCATGCCTTGCTGTGAGGCTCCCTTGTTGCTGCCCATTTGCAGGGAGATATTCTGGGTGTCGCAGTGCTCCATGCCAAGGGTGGGCTCGAAGATTTGTCTCTTGGTTCCAGGAGCTGTCATGCCCGCCTGAGGTGGGCGCAGTAGAGGGGAAAAAAGGGGGAAGAATAGAAAAGTAAAAAGCAGTTACTTGGAAAAGTGTGAAAATATTGGAATAACTGACCACACACATATACCTGCCAGTTAGTATTTAGCATGATTACTAAACCTTTGTGTTGAAGAAAATATGCCACCCCAGAAAAAAATAATTTGACTCTTTCCCTTGTAAGATATTCATTTCCTAATTGATATATCTCAGAATGAAGCAATTGGCTTTCTATCATACCTCAACAATTTCTTTAATCTTGATTTATAAGAGATAAAAATCTCTTGAGATTTGAGGTGCCTAATTTCTACACTTAGAGCAAAGAACAAACTATGACCTGTTTACACAAAATATACAGTATCTTGAAATAATGGTGGTTGCCTCTTGAACTTGCTCCAGTCTCAACTCACACGTTTTCAGAGACCAAAATCCGAAGAATCGTGTGCTCCCAAATTAAATGTCGGATGTACAAACAAGAACAGGAACTTTGTGTTTGGAAGAATTTTAGAGGGTTTTTTGTGAGACCTAAACACAAGCTACATAAGTGTTCTAGATATAGTTACCTAGTTTCACACAGTGAGAGTGTATGTCTGAAACCTTTAGGAACGTCCCAGCCACGTAGACATATGGCTACCTGTGACGTACTTCAGAGTCAAAGGCAAAAGGGTTTTGGAGCATGCAGGGGCTTCAGCATAGCAACCGTCTGACTTCTTAAAGCAACTGAAGTGGCTGTGTGGTTGCTGCATACAACTTGAAGAGTTGTAAATAGGATTCACGTGTCCTGAAGTACCTATGTGTCTTCGATCCGAAGAGCCTAGTATTATCTGAGTAAGCATGCAGACGCACACAGAAATTGCAAAACAGGAGCGTATCCTTTGTTTCTACATGGAGATTACATTATGACAGAACCAGTGTATCTGCTATTGTACAAGCAGTTGTGGTAATCCTACTAGGCAATAAATTGTTGATGTCCCTGTGGAATAATTGGACCGGGAGGCACTTCAAACAGTCACTCGCGCCCTCGTCATCTCAAGACTGGATTACTGTAATGCGCTCTACTTGGGGCTGCCCCTGAAAAGTGTTTGGAGACTACAATTAGTCCAGAATGCAGCCGCGCGAGCGATATTGGGTGTACCAAGGTACACCCACATCACACCTATCCTCCACGAGCTGCACTGGCTTCCCATTGGTCTCCAAGCACGATTCAAGGTGCTGGTTATCACCTTTAAAGCCCTACATGGCCTAGGACCCGGATACCTGCGAGACCGTCTTCTGCCGTATACCTCCCTAAGACCAATAAGATCGCACAGGATGGGCCTTCTCCGGGTGCCTTCAGTGGGACAATGCTGGCTGGTGGCGCCTAGGAATAGGGCCTCTGTTGCCACTCCGGCCCTATGGAATGAGCTGCCCCCAGAGATCCGGGCCATCCCCACTCTCATGGCCTTCCGCAAAGCTATTAAAACCTGGCTTTTCCGGCAAGCCTGGGGCTGTTGACCTCTGGATTGAGGTCCAGCCCCCCTTTGATTGGGTGCATGTTGTGCTTCTTCTTAATTTTGTTGTGTCTTATTGTTTTAACTCTTTTTTAATATTTTTCATTTCTGTAAGCCGCCCGGAGTCCTTCGGGATTGAGGGGCCTAGAAATTCAATAAATGAAATGAAATAATGGGGGTGGGGTGGGGGGTGGAACAGGTAAGAGTATCAAAATCATCTCAGTAACCCATTTTTTTTTCCATTTAGATTTCTTACCTGGCTCGCCCCCTTGTTGGTTCCCATCTGTAGACTGATAGTGGCCTGATCTAGAGGTTGGTCTGTACCCAACTTTGGATCATAGAGGTGTCGACGTGTGCCATATGCTGTCATACCTTGCTGGCTGGCAAACTTGTTGGTGCCCATCTAAGAAGAATGCAGTATTGACAATTAGATTCATCATTCTCTCTTTGCCAAGTTTCTAGTTCATATGCTGCATGGGTCAAAAGCTTCCTCTTCATTCTGTCACTTAGACCTTTTCTCCCATTTTTCCCAGCGATTTATATATCATGCAACATCACTTAGCCATGACTGGTAACAAAACATTCCGTGTGAAGACAGCTTTATGGTGTCTCTGTAAATCACAAGTGAAAAACTGGTCCTTTTCATGTCTTCTGTTTCCCTTACCTACTCGGCAGTGATTTTAATGCAGGGAAACTCAGTTCAAAGCACTGAGATTCCTAGAGATAATTTTTTTTTGGAACAAACGGGCAAAAATCACATTGGCAAATATAATACTTAGACAACAAGGTGCCAGTTTTAATGAGTCAGGTATAAAATGGAACTGTGGGTACTTCACCCACAGTCTTTGCACCATTTCTGAATTTTTTCCAGAATTGAATATCCTATGCTGCTATCCTTATCCACCAGTTGAGCCTGTTCATTTGTAGTTTGGCTTGCAGTGTAAAATACTGATAGGTTTCCAGTGATGAAGCTTGCAAGAGTTTTGCCAGTGGTCTGTTTTGAATCTGTTGGCAGAAACTTCTTGCCACTTCCCAGCTCCAGGCTTCAGAGCTGGCATAGCATCAATGACATCTAGTCTGGGGCCCAGGTGGAGTCAGGATGATGAAAATAGAATCACATTGCAAGCCCATTCCCTTTGTGCATGCTAATATTATAATGTTAACTTATTTCAAAGCCTACACAACAAAATCACTTTCAATTCTGCAGATTCCTCTGGTGTTCACTTGGCCCTTAAAACAGAAGTGCTTGGAGAGCTTTACAGGCATATCTTTACAGCAACTGCTCCTATATTTTTGGTGCACATCACAACAACAAAAATCTACTGATCCCACTTTACTCCGCAGTAAATTGTTTTAATTCCCTGCACACAATAACTCAGATGAAAAGAGCTCATGTGAATCTGACTATGTTTCCTTCCCTAAGCAGTGGGCTCAAAGCATGCTTCCTGCTGCTTGGGGTTGTTTTCTTTTGCCCCCTCCTCCTCCTCTCCCCCGGACCCCGTCTTCCCCCTCTCCTAGATGTGTCTATTTTGGAGGAGAAATTGGTCTTCTAACAGCATATTTTCTGCAACGTAAGATGGGAGAAAGGGAATATTCTATTGCCTCTCTCCCCCCTGCAATTGTTCATGGTTCTCATCAGCATTTTTTCTTTCTGCCTGATGCACACCTGGCTGATCCATATGGGTGCATCTTGCTGTATTAGTTAAGGCATGTAATGAGCTAAGAATAGCAGAGACACCGTTTTGTCTTCTCTGCAATTAAATGACTGGAGGAAGTGTTGTCTACCTCTTGGTACTTCGAGGCTGACTGTGGCGAGAAACGTTGCAAATCAATCTCAAACTGTTTCAGGGCGTTTGGGCAGAAGGATGAAAGCACTGGTGTGGAAGTGCCACCATAATTATGTATTTGGCCACAGTAAACATTTGCACAAAGGAACTAATTTTGAAGGTAGAGCAAGGTATCCTAAACTGTTTGCTACAGACAATGATGCAAAATTGTCTGCATCTTAGGGAAACAGAAGCCACGTACCTGCAATCCAATGATGTTCCTTCCTTCTTTCAGTTTTTCAGGCAGGAATCTCCGCTGTTGTTTTTCGGCATATTTAACTCCAAAATTCACCCTGTTGCCTTTTGTCTTTGCCTGCGTTGTGACAATCAGAAATCCCTTTCAGATGTTTTCTCTCAGGTATTTTGCCAGAATGAGGCAGGTCCGTTTTGCAGCGGAGGTGAGAGCAACAGGAAGTTTCCCCCTGCCCCGGACCTCCTAGTTCAGTGTTTCTCAACCTTGGCAACTTGAAGATGTCCGGACTTCAACTCCCAGAATTCCCCAGCCAGCATTCGCTGGCTGGGGAATTCTGNAATCTATGTTTCTGTGTTTTTAACTTCTATTTTTAAATGTATTGTTATAAGCCGCCCGGAGTCCTTCGGGATTTAAATAAATTTATTAAACATCAACATCAACATTTCCCCCTAGAAATGAAAACTTTGAAAAACTGTTTAAAAATTAAGGCCTTACTTTTTTTACTTGCTTTTCTCAGATGGCAGGCTGGGCATGTCTTGGAAAAATGCCCACTGGCTGTGTTGCTGCTGAGCACTAAATTTTGTTGGGTGCCAGAAGATACGGGTGAGCTTGGGCCCTTCTGGACAAAAAAAGTCCCTCATCATCATAAGCTTTAAGCCTGATGGGCACTTTGACAAAGCTTGACTTCTCCTGTCTAGCACTTGGTTGTTGGTGTTTTATGCACACTATTATTTACATTAGGCTTTAATGTAGGGTGAAAGAACCAAAGACTAACAATGCTAAAAATATCAAAAGGAAGCAAGGGGAAAGAGAGAGAGAAAGGAAATCACAAAACCAAATTAAATTGCATAAGTAAAAAATCATTCAGCCCAATTTTTAAACAGGCAATTAAACCTTAACTATACAAATAATATGTATTGATCAATCTTTGCACTAGACAGCCAGTCAATTCATAAATGTACAGAGAATTTATATCATCAATCCCAGATTGTAGTCCATGGGTTGTACTTTCTTGCTGTCCCTCAAGCTTTGCATATCCATCATTCTTGATAGAATTAAACATTCCACAAAGCTGATCTATTATTCAAAAGTGGATTCATTTTATCGAACCGCATTGATCTTTCTAATACCATATGAACAACCTAAGGAGGTAGGACTCCGTTCTGTCCAGGTTATGGAGTGTGAGGTATACTCTACATTATGTAGCAAAAGCAGCAAACACATATAATACCTATTCCACAGCTGGCCAAGCCACAAATAAAATGGCATTCACAGACCTACTACCATTTTCTTATTCTTAAAAGTAGTAAATATTTGTGCATGGTTTGTACAAATTTGTGAATGGTTTGTAACCACTCTAAAATCATCACATAAAGCCATTTGGTCTTCAAAATGCTTTGCAGAACTGAAAAGTGTTTAAGGCATCATAGAACATACCTTCTTCAGTTTACAAACCTACTTTCATTGGAATCAAAGTACCCTTTCAAAGTTCTGCACACCCTGATCTAGTTCAGATTTCACTACCCTGTTTTCCTGAAAATAAGACCTCTCAAGATATAAAGCCAAATCAGGCTTTTGACCGCATGCACTAAAATAAGCCCTCTCCCAAAACTAAGCCCTCCCTGAAAATATTGCAACACAGCAGCAGCCATGAGGTGACCACACTCGCTGCCTCCTGCATCTCAAAAATAATAAAACCTTCCTGAAAATAAG